GACTTTGCCAGTACTTATKGGACCTGTTAATGGAATTCTCATGAACATTAAGTAATCAAGGCTGTCTGTACGGTCTCATTTTGCTGTATGCAGCTTTAAAAAAATTTTAAAACAATAATTGTCCATGAAATACTTATATTTCTTACTTGAAACTTGTTATCATACCTATTACATGGGCTGGCCGTTCTGCAGGGATACGGATTTCGACGATATAATGTACATTTCCAAGCTTGATAGTAATTTCCTCTCAGTTATACAAAGATGTTTATGGCGGTCACTTGTGAAAGAGATCTTTGTATCACTCCATCAAAAAAGCATATAGGATGCAGATTTTATCTTCTAACTTTTGGAATCTGAACAAAACGAAAACACCTCCAGCATTATAGGTGATAAATTCCGAATCTCCGAGCGATCAATAATTCTAATATATCCTTAATATCATTTATCACAAAGAGCTATTTAGCTATTAGAGATAATTTGTTAATCAGTTATTATTGTATTGTTAATCAGTTATTATTGTAGATTTATAGATCTTTATAAAACGGTAAAGAAAGCTTGGGTTTTCTCTTCACAATTTTGGCTTCCTGACTGCAAAGAAGTCAAGTTCAAGAACATGTTATATTATCTAAGCTAACATTAAATGGCTCAAGGGGGGGGGGATGAACTTAGAATTATTCTTAAAACCAAGGCAAATAAGGTGAAATGATAAGGGGGGGGGGACATTGTAGAATTTTTCCTTAAGGGATACGAAAAAGCTTTGACATAGTAAGGGGGGGGGGAATTGTAAAACTTTACCTCAAGGAATAAAAAGAGCTTTGACATAAGTTATGGGGGGGGGGAACATTGTAGAACTTTCCCTTAAGGGACAAGAAAGAGATTTGACATAGCAGGGGGGGGGGGCAACACTTGTAGAACTTATTCCCTTAAGAAATAAGAAAGAGATTTGACAGGGGGGGGGGTATAAACAGCATTGTAGAACTTTCCCTTAAGGGACAAGAAAGAGATTAGAGGGGGGGGGGATTATAATCAATATTGTAGAACTTTCCCTTAAGGGATAAGAAAGAGCTTTGGGGGGGGGGAAATTACAAGCAACATTGTAGAACTTTCCCTTAAGGGACAAGGAGTTGCTGGGGGGGGGGTGTAGTATGAAATGCCCTGTAAGTAAAAAAAGTGGTCATTTAGGAATAAAGGGGGGGGGGAATCAAACAAATACTCGTACCTTTACTGACTTTAACTCTCTGTTTTCCATGGGGGGGGGGGATGCATGTAAAGTCTCAGTGGACGTGAGATGAAGCTGAAATTCTTTAAGGGGGGGGGGGCCAAAATTGCAAATTGCATAATTTGTTGGATTGGAATGAAAAGTGCAATAGGGGGGGGGGTTTCTTTGGTGTGTTAGAAGGACTAGTTAATACTTAACTAATTTTTTTTCCTGTAAAGATACGGGCATTTAGAAATCCGTAACCAAGAGGGTGAATGACTCGGTGTTTAAGGGGGGGGGGAGAAATTGTTTTTGAAACACACAAAATGTGATTTTTGAGGTCTGGAAGTTGGGGGGGGGGCTTCTTACCAATTAATCTGTTGATTTCAAAAGTCGTTTTAGGAAATATTGGGGGGGGGGGGCACTTAGATACAGCATTGATTTCAAGATTATTTCGATCCACAGTGGAATGGGGGGGGGGCGAGCAACAAACACAAAATCGAATATTTTTACTAAATTCATTACTTTTTCGGGGGGGGGGTGTGAAAAAAGGATATTACACGAGGAAAGCTCGTACATATCGCAGCAATCGGTATCTTTTCCATGCTTTATATCAAAGGGATTTTTTCGCTTGTCCGACGTAGCAACAGTAACTAGGGAGGTACTACGACAATGAATCGGAATCGGGTAATTACAGGTATTTTGAAGCTCGGGGGGGGGGCCACCTAATATGTAATCGTTCAGACTCTACGTCTGTTGCCACACAGCTCTGGGGGGGGGGAAAAATAATGGACTAACGAGATTTCTATGATTTCAATGACTCTACCAAGAGGGGGGGGGGTCTTACCAATTTTTTTTATTCATCCTTCAGAGATGAATAGAACTTGATAAGGGGGGGGGGGTATCCATATGTTCACTAAAAGAATAACAGCAATCAATGACACCTTGTATGGGGGGGGGGACGCCACGGGTATTGACAGTGCTATCGTGCACGCTTCGTGTCCTTGAGCAGGGGGGGGGGCTTTGCACGCAACCAGATCTTTTTTATCAAGAATATTTTATCTAAACTCAGGGGGGGGGGATCATCGCTTTTATAAACGTTTTGAAAAATAGTTGAATCAGGAAGCAAGCGGGGGGGGGGCTAAAAATTAAAAAGAATCCTCTACGTTTATTTGATATTTTAATACCGATGGGGGGGGGGAGCTTCATATTGTAGCTTCATCGAGCTTCATTGTTCTCTTGAAAATTATTGGGGGGGGGGAGAACGCAAAGAATTGTATATCATTCGTGCGGGTTCCCTGTGCTTTATAGGGGGGGGGGGCCTTTAGCGAATCCATGCCATATATGGAAACAAACAAAATGGCSGATTGTGGGGGGGGGGTTTCGCTATAATATCTGCAAGTTTCAGACGATTTCAAGCATTAAAAGTCGGGGGGGGGGGCAAAAATCACTTCTATCGAACTTCCAAATAAGGTAAGATTACCATATATGGATGCTAAACGAAGGAAAACTTTTGTGGGGCAATTCTTTGATATCACTTATTGAACAGAAAGATAAAACTACGAATAAAAAACTTATTACGCCATTTTCCAGAAACAATCCTGAGTCAACGGGGGGGGGGTCAGAGACAACAATATTGCAGATGCAAAATGTTTTTCTCAATTTTCTCCTGAATAATTGYATGTAAAATAGAGACAGCAAAAAGACCGCGAGACAACCCTGAGCCAATCAGGGGGGGGGGTGATGTAATTAAACAACAATTTGAATTGTATTGAATTATTAATAATGAAAGGGGGGGGGGAGGAAGTTCTGCAATAAGCCATGGCTCTACTACTRACTGCATTCCGTATAGGGGGGGGGGTTGGACTGCTAATCGTCTTGTCGTTGGGTAAGTTAGTGATATTGAGAAACGGGGGGGGGGTTCTTCATTTTACCAAACTACCAAACGTGCAAATGAATTCTTAATTGTCGGTTTAAGAAACCATACACCATAATAAAACGCCTTAGTTTGACTAAACGAAAAAATAAGAAGGGGGGGGGGCATAACCCATCATAACTCAATCCTTCCTATGCAAGATACAGAGACATAACGGGGGGGGGGAAATTCATTAACACACCAAAAAAAAAAAAAAAAAAAAAAAAAAAAAATCCGGGGGGGGGGTAATGATATCATAAATAAATAATCGATTTCTTGCAGCGAAGTTGTAAAGAGGGGGGGGGGAACGTGTGACATAAACGTGTATAAACAATCCATGTTCCGTAAGCAACATCTTGTTTATATACTCTTTTAAATAGTACGACAGTACGACAGTGAAGATATTTACAACATCGCTCTTGCTCCCCATTGAATACAAGTACAAAAGACTTAGAATTCATCCTTTAGCAGGTAGCTTTTAATTTAGAGGTGACAATTTCTAATTGCTTCAGTCTTATGAATTAATTATAACTTTTGGGGGGGGGGTTGTACAGCAYTGCATGCAAAAGATACAGAGAATCCTATTTTTTCACAGCGGGGGGGGGGATATATCTTTTTGACAGTATTCATTATAGTTTCGGAATCCCCCTCCCTTTGGGGGGGGGGTGCCCGTTTTTCAGTTTCAAGCTTAGTACGAAAAGTTGCAGAGTTTTTCCAACAATGAAATGGAAATAGCTAGCAGTTAAAATGAGRAATGTAGGGCTTTTCATTGACTTTTAAGGGGTTATTTTTCGATGTTATCTTGGTTTATGTTTTATTTAAGAAATATAAAACGGCGCGCGTGTCTCTGTCCTCTGATATAAACACGGTGGGAGTTCGAAAAACACGAGAGAAGAGGGGGGGGGGACACGAGCGTAGCGAGTGTTTCTCTTGCTTCTCGAGTGTTTTTCAACTCCCGCCGTGTTTATATCAGAGGACAGAGACACAAGCGGCCGTTTTATATTTCTTTTATAAAAGGGGGGGGGGGAAAATAAAATTTTGCTGGTAAGCCGTGTCTCTGTTCTCTGATATAAACACGGTCGTCAGCCAATCAGAGCGCGCGTTATATATCAAAAATTTTATAAATAATAATTAAAACAAATTCCGTATCTTGTCTTCATGATAAAAGGCGATTTTACATCGATAACCAATTAGAAATGTAATATGCATAATTTCTTTCGGTCTTACAATCGTCGTGCACAAAATCATCCTAGCCCGGGGGGGGGGACTCCCTAATATCAAAGGGCGGGGGTCCTCGGCGTCCCTTTTAGGGTTTGAAATCAGTATTTTGGTCCCGCTTAGGGTGATCATGACAAGAATTCCTACCAACTGTGTTTTGTGGTCCCTTTTAGGGTATACGGCGACCCTAAGCAGTCATAAAATTGCAACGTCGTCATAAACTCAATACGAGCTGACGGTGTTCGATGATTGTGGAAAAACACAAATAAAATCGGAAAACCAAAACAAAATGACCTGTTATTGATTGGTCCCTTTTAGGGTTGAAATTTCAGCACACCACGCCCTTCATCTCACAATAGAGGTCCCTTTTAGGGGTCGTTTTCACAATCTCCGCCGAGGACCCCCGCCCTTTGATAGTAGGGAGTCCCCCCCCCGGGCATCCTAGTCTCTCAGCCAGCCATTTTTGAAGCATATAGCTACATGTATTACACTACATTTTAAAACATCACTGATGTGATATTGTTAACATGTGTTAACATTTCAAATTTAAACCCTGGCTCATTTTATCGTAAAACTAAAACTAAAAATTGCAAAGTCTCGAATGTTTTCAACGATATAATGATATATGTTAAAAGTCATAATAACAAATGAATGTATTTACATGTAGCACTATATTAACTTCTACAGGAAATGCAAGTGAATGCAACAAAACCATGATTTTCAAAGTAAACTTCAAAGACAAAGCTTTTATCAACCACACAATAATGTCTAAGAAAGCACGTGATCACAGTTTCTGCAAAGCTCTTTGTTTCATGAATGATCGATGCATTTCRTGCACGTTTGACACAAGAAAGTCGCTTTGCCATCTCAGCGACTCGGACCACATTATGCATCCAGAACATCTCATGGAAACGCCGGACTCAGTCTTTTGGAGTGCAGATGTATGTTGATAATTSATATTTTTTAACATGTATAGCAATTATATTGATGTTTGTATATATCCCCTTGACATAAGTCAAATAAAGTAAGATAATAGGATGAGAGAAAAAAAACAACAAATGAAGTAGTGATGTTAATAGTTGATTTAATAGTAAAGTTGATTTATTAAGTTGTTCATAAGTCTTTTCTTTTTCAGAATACTTGTAAATGCAGGCAGAAAAATATGACGTGTAGATACAACTTYGCTCAAAATGCACATCGCTGTGAATGCCCGCCAAAATCTACTGGAGAAAACTGCGAAATGCGTAAGAAAGAAATCGAGTATATTCTTCGAGTGAATCCCAAGTCCAAAAGGCATTGTTGGTCTTTCTATCGCCGCTCGAAAGAGCTTTCGTGGTTTCAGAGTTACAATACCAGATTTGCACAGCCAAGAATTYCATTGGAAAGAAATGAAATTGTAATTGCCATTGTAACACAGCTAACGTAAAATTTCATTCCAACAATGCATTGCGGTCTTGTAATGTAGTATTTAGTATTCAATCTTCATAGAAATAGCTGTTTATTCCATATTTTCTATCTGCAGCTTACATACTTGGTGCAAGGAATTCGACACCAGGCTCTTCGTGTCGAGCTATACGAGATGCTGGCGATTCTAGAGGGGACGTCGAGTACTGGGTTAAACCAGTTGGAGTGAAGGAAGCTTTCTTGGTGACATGTCATATGTCATTGCTCGGAGGTAGTTTCAAAAGAAACCACGATGAGATCTCTTAATGTAAATTGGCAGCCTTGCTCTGATTTTTTTCCAAATTAAAAAAAGCAATTTTTCCACCACATCCATATCAAAGAATTACCTCAGAATTTTGTCCCTCCTCTAATAGCCATATTT